CGAAAATCATCTTGGTTAGTTTGGGTTGACTTTTTTTTTAAAAAAAAAAAAAAATTAGAAAAGTTAGAAGAATAAAATTTTTATTTATTTTTCTATAAATAACAACAACAATAAGCCTTTATCCCACTACGTAGTGTCGGCTACATGAATTCTTTTTCTCCATTGTGTTCTATTAAGGGTCAAACTCTCATCTAAATCTAATAAAGAAAGGTCATTTCTAATATTTTATAACCAAGCCTTTTTACGTCTACCTCTACCTTTCCTAACATAAGTCAAATATGATAAATATACTTTCCTAATCGGGCCGTCGGAAGACCTCCGTTTTTTTTTAGTTATAATTTTTCTTATGCTTTAAAACTAAGTTTGGTTGTTTACTTTAAAAAGTTTTGAAAAAGATTTTTAAAACACTAATTCACCACTATCTTGATATGTTATTTCATACTTTAGTTGGTTTCACAATCATCCATTGAAGTTCCAGATAAGCCTAGAGATGGAGTTGAAGGAAAAGTTTAATTATGGAGGTCAACCTTAAATTCTAAAGGGTTTTGTTTAAGTGGAGTATAATTTTAGTAGTAATTGATGTAATAACTCAAATATGTGAAATAATTTTTTTTTAAAAAAAAATATGAAAATTTTAAAGTAGAGCGATTTGGCGCTAATCTGGCGAGCCCTTTGGCGCTGGACCATATAAATCCTTGCCTCACCCTACTAACTCCCTCAGTTGATTGCTTGGCCAGGAAGAAATTGAAAGAAAGGAAGAAGAGAGAGAAGAGAGAAAAAGCTTTTGATCATATTTGTTAGCCATTTTTGTTATAGATTTTATTTTATTTATTATAAGTAACTAATCTCTTATTTTTATTTTCAATAATTTTAATTTCTACAAATTTTATTTCTCCTAAATTTGACAAAAATGCATTATCTCTTGATTTCATAAGCTTTCATCATTCAAATTTGGATATGTTATAGATTTGATTATTCTAAATATTTTGATATGATTTTATTACATTTTAAATGAAGTATTGAATGATATCAGATACATGATATGATAACTCCACGTGATATCCTACTGATCCATAAGATCGCGTGATTGTGAGTCATAAGGAGTTGGAGATTGATTGGGAGTTAAAAAAAATTGGGGCAATTGATTAATATAATTTGAAGGGAGTTATAAGAAGTACATTGATTGAGGGTTATAAGGGGCAACTGATTGAGAGTTACAAGTGCAGCAGCAAAATACTCTTAAGATACACTCATTGAATATCTGAATACAGATGCCGACACTACTAAAAACACTATATTGATATTGTGACTAACACTAATATTGTTTACTATCATGAATACTATTTAACATTATTGATCATGATATTAATATTGTTACTGACATTAGTACTATTAACTATTACTACTACTGTGATTGATAATAGAATGGATTGAGATGTGATGAACTATAGAAGAATAAATTGATATAGATAATCAGTATAGACATTGATGCATATATATTTTTATATGATTTATAAGATATTGTTCTATTTTATCTTGCATTCATTTCATTCGTAAAATTCAATTTGGATGGTTGAAGTGGAGGAATACACTGGGCATATTATGTGATAAAAAAGTACCCCTCGAGCTTAAGGGAAAAACTTATAAGATGATGGTTAGACTTGCAATGCTTTATGACATAAAATGTTGGCCATTAAAAGAGAACATAAAATTAAATTAAGTGTTGCAAAGATGAGGATGCTCAGCTAGGTGAGTAGCTTTACTCTAAGAGACAAAATGTGAAATGAGTATATACATGAAAAGGTTGAAGTGACTCTAATGGCATATAATATTAGAGAAAGTTGCCTTAGATGGTTTGGTTATATAAAACGTTAGCCTTTTGATGACCAAGATAGAAGAGTAGATGTATTAAATCTGGCCTATGTTAAAAAATGTAGAGATAGACCAAAAAAAATTTGGTTAGAAAATAATATAAATGACCTCTTTTTATTAGGTTTGAATTTAACTTTTAATATGATACCACGAAGATAAAAAAAAAGATTCATATATTCAACCCCACGTATACGTGGAATAAATGCTTGATGTTGTTATTATTGTATTATTGCTCAATGGTATCTATCAATTGACTTTGGACTTGCTAACTTTTCTTTCTTTATTAGAATATTAATGACTATTTAAATGAAAATATAAATTTAAATCCATTTTTTATATCTTATATGGCATTTCATCTGCTAACCCTTGATATCCATGTTCTTTACGTAAATCATATTAAATCTTTCCCACGTACATAATATTAAATATTAACCATTAATTTAATAAATAAAATCTCAACCATTAATAAGAATTATTTGATGATACATTTCAAAAAATTAAATTGGAGACCATCTGAACTTTGATTTCAGCAAACTTACAGTTGAGATGAACATCTCGAAAATACAAACCTAACGACACCAAATTCGACTCAAATCAAGCCTGAATGGGTCCAACTCAAGGACTTTGAAGCTCATTTTGAAGTTTTAAACCACAATTTGGATTATCAAACGATTTATAAACGTGACATGCTTATAGTCTAATCGAGCGGTTCGACGAGACGAATCCAACGAGCCCAAGATCGTCAAATTCTAATATCATTAGAGCCTTCAAATGCGTGATAAACGGTCTACGATAAAGGGATTCAACATCGGTCGTCCATTCAAACCACTAGCAATTTACAACTTATCTTCCTCCTATTTACTGGCCATGTCATTCTTAGAAAACTATAAATAGACCCCTCATTTTTCATAGAAGGGGACCCGAAATTGGGGGAAGAAGGATGCTCAAGCAAGAAGAGAAAATAAGAGAAGGAAGCAAGAAAGAGACTCCTTGTCAACCACCGCCGGACTTTCACCTGGTGGCCGACCGACGTCGGCCTCCTGCCCGATCACCAACTGATGTTGGAATTAAGCAAGGAAGCAAGAAGAGAAGGAAGAAAAGGAAGAGAAGAAAGAGAGCACTCATGTCACTAGACTCTTCCTCGATCATCGCCGGAATTCTACCCGGTCACCTATCGACGCTGGAGTTCAATTTGAATGCCATCTGACGCCGTATTTCTGCCCGGCCGTCGACTAACGTTGAACTTCTACCTGATGTCGGGCCTCCGCTCGTTACCAGATTTCTACCCGACGCCAAACTTCTACCCAACGTCGGACCTCCGCTTGTCGTCGGATTTCTAGCCAACGCCAGACTTCTACCTGACACCGAACATCTGCTCGTCGCCAGATTTCTACCCGACATCGGACTTCTATCCGAAGCCGCACCTTCCCTCGTTAGCAGATTTCTATCAAACATCAGACTTCTGCCAGACGCCGAACCTCTACTCGTCGCCAAATTTCTACCCGACATAGGACCTCCGCTTGTCACCGAATTTCTACATGACGCCGGACATCCGCTCGTCACCAGATTCCTACCTAATGCAAGACTTCCGCCCGTCACCAGATTCCTGCACCATGTCAGAATTCCACCAAACACCGGACTTCAGTTGGACTTCTACCCGACACCAGACTTCTACCCGTTGCTAGATATTCGTCAAATTTCTATCTGACGCTAGACTTCTGTGCATCGCTGGACTTCTACCCGACGTCGTCCTTCCGACCTCGGTCGCCAGACAACGGTCTTTATGACCTCCATTGCGCATCGACAATGGTCCTTCCGACTTATATATAGCCTGCCGACTACAATCCTTCCAACTTATGTCGCCCACTAACTACAATCATTCTAACATCCGTCGCCCACCGACTTGGCCTTTCCTACCAAAGAAACACATCAATAGTGATTCTTCTTATTTCCACCATGTAACACACTCTATATGATGTATATTTGTTACATCAAGCCAAGGCTAGGCCCCCTAATAAAGTTACTCATTTGTAATCAATTACAAATACTAGCGAATTCATTCGAATTGAGTAAGGCCCCATGATTTTTCTCCTTTTTCAAGTTTTTTACATAAAAATCTTGATGTCTCTTATTAATACTGCACACTCTTTTTATCTGATTCTGTTATATATCTTAATACAAAACTAAAACGCTAAACTTTATACTTCTCTACCACCATGAATATTCCATACCGCAATAGTTATAAATTTATACACATAGGCCTTGTTTGGAATGACTTTTTAAAGTGATTTTTTAATATAAAAATTATAATTTTTACATAAAATATTACTTTAAGAAGCAACAAAAAAAATCATCTAGATATCCTAAATTATTTTATTATAAATTTATACAATTAGACTTTGTTTGGAATGACTTTTTATCACCTTTTAAAGTAACTTTTTAATATAAAAACATTAAATTTTATATAAAAATTTACTTGAAAAAGTACTTAAAAAATCATTCCAAATAAAGCTATAGTTCCAACCTTGCTATGACTAACTAGAAAAAAAAATCAAATTCTAAACTTGGAAGCTTGTATATATACTTAATTTAAATTTTTTTTAAAGATTGTTAAGAAAGAGAAAGAAGCTTCACAATTCAAAGCCTTTGATGTAACCAATGAAACAGCATTTTTCTTTAATGGGAAATGACATTGCCACATTTAATTCCTCCTCATTATCAAAATATCCTAAGGAGAAATGAACCTAAAGTTGTCAAATTAATATTAAGCTTGTGCTCTTTATCCAAGTTAAGAAAAATTTGGCTAAATATGCGAAGCAATGTAGTGGCCTGTACTAGTAAAATGTGCCACACACACTAAGTTATGGTGACAACCCCGACATGTTTATTCAGTCAAAAGGATCAAAATTCAATATCATATATTTCCACTCTTTCACTACATTCAGGTCAAATCCCAATTAACCCCGGTCTAAACGGGTCAACTCAAATCCAACATATTTTTGTAAATAATTTAGATTTTTCAATCAGAACCCGACCCACTCGGGTTACTGGATTGACCCGAATATCATACAGTGCAATATTTTTTTCCAAGTCAAAACTGATAAAACCACTAAACTGAGAGAGAGAGAGAGAGAATATAACGACATCACAGATAAAGCATAATTCAACAACAACGGTCTGATAAGACATGAAACAAAATAAAAATCTTTAGGACTCGAACATTCAAAAACTCTTCTAAACTTGTCAACAACATGGATTTAAAAGAAACAGATAGCAGAGAGCTATAAAATCATAAAAAAGTGCTGCTGAGAAGAACTAACTTAACTCACTGAGTCGCACCTAACCATTTGGAGAAGTTTTCAAACTCGGTGTAATCACTATCCGATATCATCGTCTTGTACCATGCCCTGCCAGCAGCCTTCACCTTTGCAGCTTCCTCCTATAACAAATGCCATGACACTTTCAATTCATTTTACAAGGGCATAAGCATTGTAGATTTGCAGGAAACAAGTTCAAAAAACTAAATAAATAAATAAAGGAAATTTATCAAATCAATAGAAAGACAAATGAATCGTCGGAACCATTTGAAAGGAAAATGAACTTTCCACCCATTAAAAAACCTTAAGCTGATTTATAAATCAACTGTATCGACTAAATTCAATGAAAGCCTTCATTCTTTATACAACATAAAAACAAATATTTTCAACTAAAATAGCTTTGTTCTAAATTTTCAAAAATTTACAAGATGAAAAGGAGCTTTCCCAATCAGAAAGGTTAAATCGTAATGCCTAAACCCTGGACTCTATTATTTGAACTTTCTGGAGAGGCCAAATCAGTAATAGTCACAACAATTGTAAAACTCCATTTTTTTGCTCAACTAAATAAACCCTAATAAATCAACGAAAATATAACATTACAGTCCAAACGAACAAAATAGGAATCACTTGTCACTCTACGAAAATAGAATCAGAAGAACAAACTCGAATACTTGAAGAATTAAAAAACCAATACAAAAAGACATAAGAAATCTTTAGAGGATGCTCTACTATGGGAAGGGAGCAAGGAAAAAAAAAATTGAGTGAGCTAGGTGTAAACTTCAATATCACTCAAGAAAACAAATATTTGATGCAGTGAAAGTATACAAAAGATAACAAAATATATGTTTAGCAATCAAGCATGTTCTTTAATATATATATACAATATAACATAATTATATGAATTTTTAAATTTATAAGTACAAAGTTAATAAAAGTAATTTAAAACTCTATCTCTTTCTTAAACCAAGTATTTTCTTATTATTTCTACTATACTTTCTCTTTTTTTTATCATATTACTATCAAAATCATCTTCTTTCATAATAAAGAAGCCGGCTTATGAATTCACTCAAACTTAGAGAATTGAGCTTGAACTTAATTAAATCAAGGCCGGCACAACCTCAACTCAACTTATTTATAGCCCTATTATACGCAAACAAGGATTTTATAAGAAACTAATCACCATGCAAAATCACGTTTTGTGAAAGAAGATAAACTCAATGTATAAATGAAAATTAATAAATAACAGAAAATTATGTAGTAAAACACTAAAATGCAAAAGTGTTACAAGACAGAACTGCTAACCGAAAAACATCAGAATACCTTATGCCATCATTGAGATATTAAAATAGGAAAGTACATTGAGCTATTATAATTTCAATGAGCAATGCTTCTCGCAAAAATAAAACTAGCATATTACAATATATACATATCCCTAGAAGGTATACTGTATAAAAGAGCAGCTCCGTGAAAGTGAAGCTGCCAGAACACTTTTATTTAATTTACATCATAGAGATAATTAAAATTGGGTTTACTTGTCAATCTAAATAGTGTTCCCGATTTCAAAATAACAAAAATTATCTAGCAATCATCAGATTAACTTGACTTGATGAAATATATTATATCGAACTACTAAATCATTTTCAACTCGGGCAATAAAAAATATGCCAATGAAATTAAAAAGACAGTACAGCCGAACTTAAAAAAAATCAAACCAAATAACATTACCTTAGTAAGCGAGCTCCGTTTCTTGTCGAGCTTTTCTTGCTTAGCCTTCACCCTCTGCTTCTCAGCAAGAAGAGCCATCCGCTTTGCCGTCTTGGCATAAGGATTCAACTTCAGCATGGTGGCCAGATTCTTCAATGGGTTCTTCTTCAGTGTCCTTCTCCTGACATCCTTATTAATTGGTTTTACAACAGACTGAACTTCATCAGAATTAATAATCCTACCAAGATCAGCGTTAGTCATCTTCGGTCTAGGAAGCACATAACCCTTCTTCAGCTCTGAAGGGGTCTCGAAGGTGCCAAACACCTTATCCAGCTTCTCAAAAGCTGACTTAGTCCAAACAATGAACCTCCCTAGATGACCACCAGGAGCCAGCTTTAAAACATTCAAACGATCAACATGAGCAACATCAACCCCTGGGAGATTTCTAAATGCCTTCACGATCTTGGATCCCTCAGTTCCATACACGATCAAAGGGCCCTTCCGAGAGATGTAACGCCGGTTGCGCATCTTCCCCTTGCCAGGACGGATACCAAGCGAATCCTTGGCTTTCTCGGCATCCGCATAAGCTCCCACCTGGCAGATCATTCAAATTTTAGTTGATTACTGACATTTCATGCAATTATTGAAATTATTCTTAAAAAGGGGAGGTAAATTCCATTCAATCTACTAAATATCTTGCATCAGAAACGAAAATTTATATGATTCCAATCTTTAGGGTTATCTTATTTATCAACGAAAGGAAGAAATTCAGGTGAAATAACTCCCGACATAAATAAAATAAAAAACAAAATATCAATCAGGAGCAAGAAGGAACTGCTGATTAAAACCTGCTTCAGGATCTTGATTGCCGATGAGGTTTTCTCAATGGATTCCACAGAATCAGAGAGAACAAGAGGGATCTCCGGAACAGACTCGATCCGATGGCCGCGAGCAAGGACAAGAGAGGGAACAGCGCTTGCAGCGAGCGCGGAAACAACAGCATACCGACGTTGGTTAATATTGACGCGGCGGTGCCATCGGCGCCAGATCTTAGTGGGGCCGAACATTCGGCCGCCACGGCACATGTTGCCAAACGCTCCTTGGCCGGCTCGATGAGTTCCACCGCCAGGAACGCGGGGGATACGAGAGACAGCACGGCCGGTTCCCCAAGATTCGGCGGAGGTCTGATGGCCGGCGCGCCTCGAGACAGCGTAGGGCTGCCGCTTGTTGCGGGAGAGGTTATCATGGACGAAGCGAACGACGTCGGGGCGAATCGTGGCGCGTAGTACGTCGGGCAGAGGGAGGGAGGCAGCATCAGAATCTGTGGCCATGTCGCCGTCGAGGGCTTGAATGGAGACGAGGGGGCGGGTGATGGGCTTGGAGGCGGCCATGAGGAAGAGCGGGGGTTGGGCATGCACATTGAAGTGGGGGTTGGTATTTATAGTTAGAAAGAGTTAGGGTTTTGAGCAGCCGGGTGAGGTTTGTATGGGTTGTGACCGGAATGGTTAGTCCGAAATATTTTACGATTTTCTTTTAATTATTTTTTTCCTAACACTATATTAGAGCTGAAATTATATTTGACTCAACTTGATTGATTTTATTTAAAATTAATTTGATTTATATAAAAATATATATTTATATGTATGTCTTCACTAATATGTATGCCTATTAAGAAACTAAATTTCATAAAATTCATGATGCTTGTTGAGTGAAGAACTAACATGCTATTTATTTCTTAGGAAAATATAAAATATTTGTTTTGGATGCAATTATTTGCAATGAGGAATAATATCTTATAATATCTTTGAACTTTAAATTATTTAAAACTAGCTCGAACTATTTTGAATTTGAACCTTGATTCAAACTTCACTTCGAACATTATTCATTAATTACTTTTTTCTTTTACATGTTGTAAATTACCTGATGTCTGCCCATAGCAACAATTTGCGCACATGTTGACAATTTGGTAAAAACTGTCATGATGACCCTGTTTAAACCCCTCTCCACATACCATTAGTTTATCCATGCTTAACCCTAGCGACCCTATCACAAACTCCTCACCTCCATATGCCACTAGTTCGTCGATGCATGCTCCTAGAAATTCAATTATAATCTCATCTACTTTACTTGGCATAAGTTTGTCGATGCTTGCCTTTAAGCACACCATCATGAACTCCCTTCTTTATTCATGCGCCACCATGAACTAGGTGCGAACTTGTTCAAACTGTGAGAGTTCAGTACCACATTTGAATTATACTTTAATCAAGTTTAAACATGATTTACAATAAGGTTCAAATATTATTGTAGTCAAATTTGAATTCAAACCACTTTGCACCAATTTGTAGGACTTTAACTTCAATAAGTAATATATCAAGAGAATGTATTATTGTCTAAATCAAACTTTCAGCCATATTATTTCATGAAAACAAACATCATATATATTTATATAGTTATGTGCATTATGAGTCATATAAAATCAATTTTACCTAAATATTTTCACATATATTTATATAATACTTTTCTATTGAATCCAAATTTCTCCGTGGATGATACCCAACATTACTAGTAGGTCTACTCATTGATCTAGAACCTATATGTAAGAATGTAGAGTATAGGGATAGTAGATAAAAAGATCTATATGTCTCCAATAAGCTGATATTCACTATCATTAAAAGAGAAATATTAGAGTTATCCTCTAAATTGTCCCTCATCACCCCTTATTTATAAGATTTTGATTACTACAGAAAATACTACACATAGAAAAAGTAAAAAATTTACAAGTTACATGGAATACTCTTACAACTCATGCTCATCTAGGCTTGTATAGCCCCTTGACTACTCGAAGGAGGGAGAATTCAATGGGCTTCTTAGCGAGCTCCCCTCAGGTGAGCTAGGTAGCAGCGAGTAGGTTTCTGGTGAACTTGTGAGCTAGTCCTGACATGTGGGGGACCCACAACTAGCAAGCGATTTGGTGTTGCTACGTCTTGTGTGCAAGATCTTGGGTGCATTAAAGGGAATTGCTATCAAGATGCGACTAGAGTGGAGAGCTTTAGGCTGAGCAGTAAGTGTTAAATGATGTGTGACACCCCTTAGTAAGCACTTTCCTATAGCTAAGCTTGGTGAGCTTGAAGATAAAGTCTCTAAAGTAGAACTAGTGATTGAGGTAGCAACAAGTGGTAATTTGTTTGCCTAACAAGGGATTTCTAATTTTACATGTGCGAGGTTAGCTCTTTGGTAGGTTTATGTGAGTTAGGTTTGCTAACCGCCTTCAAATGAACCCCTCTTGAGGTTGAGTGTCTGTATTATGACTTGGTAGCCACCTATTAAAAACCCATGAATTCATGTATAAGTATATATTTAGGGTTGTTTAGTTGGATAAAAAAGGAAGACAATGTAAAGGGAATGTAGAGTAAAAGGAATACTTTGAGTTGTTTGGATGAATTAAAAGTAAATACAAGTGAATAATTTTTTTTGTTTTTGAAGCAATGAATGTAATGCAAAGTCAAAAAATGATGGTGGTTAGCAGGGGAGGTGGCGGCAGTGGTAGTGGCTCCTAAGATTTTTAAAGAAAATGTTGCATCTCTCTCCTAGTTGATAGATGAAATAATTGAGTCTAATAATTCAGCCAGTAAGCCATTAGAGTTCGTTAGTGATTTTGGGCTTTTTTATTTCAATTATGTCTTGTACCTTGTTAAGGTTGATTCGATCCCGTCGGGTGTTAGAAAGAACCCTAAGAATATTTGTGCACCTACTTTGAAGGTGCCTTTAGGGGTTGAGCCTCATGTTGTACTTTTTGAGAGTGTGAAGAGTACCTCATAGGTCTTTGATGTGCTAGATAGGAGATTTTCTTTTTATGAGAAGATTGTCTACATAGACTTTAATGTTTCTGCCATTTAGTCATTGAAAACTTTATCCATCACTCTCTGATAGGTCACCCCAGTATTTTTAACCCGAAAGGCATGACTTTGTAGTAATGCAGCCCTTCTAGTGTGATGAAAGTAGTTTTCTTGCAATCATCGGGGTACATTTTGATTTGGTGGTAATCAATGAAAGTGTCTTGGAAACTCATGATGGGATAAACCACCGCAGTCAACTAGAGTGTTAATCATTGTTAGTGAATAGCCATCCTTGGGATATGTTGAGCTCAAATTTGTGAAATCTATGTACATTCTCCATATGTTAATCAGATTATTGGACTTCTTAGATGAAGTTTATGACGAATAATTTTTTTGCTTCTTCCTAGATAGGTTCTATGAGTATAGTGGTAGTTTTCAGTTCTTCTGTTTGATGGGGCGGGAGCCCCTTTAGACATTTATTTTGTGACATATTACCTCATCATCAAAGTCGAGCATACCAATTTCCATTCCTGCTAACACTTTAAGGTTGTTACAGAGAGTTTATATCAGTTCATCTTAATGTTCTCTACTAAAAGATCTCCCTGGTGCATTTTTTATCACCAGCACTTCTTCGATGACTTTGGTTGCTTCAAGAATTGATCATTGTTTCATGAATAGCTGAAAAATCTTGTTAAAGCTGTCAGCCAAACCTATTGCTCATAAGTAGTAGGTATGTGACCTGGATAGGTCGCCTTTAACAGTGACATATTCTCCATTGGCCAAAACCTTGATAGTGACATGATATGTAGATTCCACATCTTTGAAGGTATTCAGTAGTGGCCTACAAAATATGCCATTGTAAGTAGTAGGGGTAGACGCGTCGACCATGATAAAATCTTTCATGGAGATGTATTGATGATTTTGTTCACCTAGGATATTGGTAGGATGATGATTCATTCAATTTGTTGTGCTCCCTTGAGAATCCCAAAGGAGATCATATGATAGGGTTGAGTTGAGAGGCGATCATTCTCATCTTGCCAAAAGCTACTTAAAAGATTATATTCATTAAACTCCTTGTGTTTATCATAATACTACTGATTAGTTAGCGATTAGGGTTGTGATGATAATATCATCATTGTGGGTCACCCGTGCTACTGAAAGTGATTATTGTGTTATCATCGAATCGTGAGTATGCTACTGTATTGACTTCAATAATTCTTGGCTTCTTCGAAAGTGCAGGGGTGTTTTTTTAGATTGCCACCTGTAATTAAGGGTGCCACTCCCTTGACGTGGATTGATTGATTTCTCCTTGGCTTGTTGGTTCCTTCTTTGAGTGGGGCTTTTTTTATAGTCACTCCGAATTGACAAGCATGAATTTTTTGATGAGGTTGCAAGGGTGTCAGCATTTCTCGATGCAATGGACATAATCCTTATGGAATGTGTAGTATCATGATGTATCTTAGCCTCTACCAAACCTCATAAGAGGTGGATGCCAGAATAATTCTTTATTATGAATTACCTTGATAAGCTCAACCATTCATACTCTCAGTAGAGTATAGGCAGGATATTCTTGAAGTTAATTAGTGACATCTCCATGTGTTTCTATGGTTCTTAGTAATGATGGTGATTCTGGTCTTTGAAATCTTGGACGTGTTGGTTCCTCATATGGATTGAGGTGTGGTTGGCTACGCCAAAGGTTTGACCCTCAATTTTTTCATTCCTAAGACTGAATTCATGTCTTCTTTGAGGGGAGATTCTTCCTTGTAATGACATTATGACATGAGATGGTTGAGGAGGATTCGTCCACTCGATCTATTCCTCAGCTTTGGCATAACTGTTGGTGGGTTCCAACAACTTTATCACATCTTTGATTTTTACAAGCCTAGTGTGTATCTAAAGGGACCTTTTTCAGCCACTGAGTCAGGGCTACTTGGGTGACTGCCATTTCAAGGTATTTTATGTCTAGCATGTATTTTTGAAATCATAGTACACAATTTCTTAGCGACTCCCTTAGTTTATGTCTCATTTTTAGTAGGATTTGTGAGTTTTTGGGAGATCTTTGGCACTAGAAAATTGCGGCCTTAGCATTCACTTGAACTTGATGAAGGAGGTGATCACCCCACTGGGTAGGTGAGTGAACCACCTTAGTAATGAATAGTTCAAGGTAGTGAAGAAGAGATGACACTGGAGTGCATCGTTAATGTTGAGGAGAGAATTGATAGATTCAAAAGTAGTTATATGATATATGAGATTAGTTTTACCTCGGTAAGTTTTGAGATGAATACCTTAAACTTGGGAGGTACCATTGCACCGAAGATTATTAGTCGATCATAATTTGGCTTCTTTAGTTATCCTGGCTATTGGACTTAATTTTTTGTCCCTCACCTTGGGGCGAGTGAGGATGAAAGTTGGATCTAAAGAATGAGCTTCTTTTAGAGGCTCTTGGTGAGCATTAGAATCAGATAGACCTTTAGTCGCACTGATTGTTTGTAGTGGATGGTTAGCGATGACGAGGATGTCAATAAATTTTAAGAAACGCTACTCCATTTCTTACAAATCACATTGAGTGGTGAATTCAGGGTTTATAATATTCTCCAAGGTTTCAGATTGCCTAGTTGGTAGTGATTTTATGATCTTTAGCATCTTCCATGCTCACCGCACTTGAGAGGATGTTGAATCCCATTTTATTTGATGGATGATACATGGTCATACTTCATGCTACTTGTGGACTAAAGACCCATGGGAAGAATATAATGAATTTTGAATGTGAGAGATGAATCTAAGAGAAGTAAGGAATTAGACAAAATTTTATTATCTAAGTTAGATATATAAGAATAGTCGAAGTTAGAGTTCGACGCTATGAAGCTTAAGAAAAAGAAAAAATGATACAACCTTTTGTGGGTTGATTATATGTTTTCTAGCATAATCTCTTTCTCATTCATTGTATTTCTGCCAGAGGAAAGATTTTTTTCTTTGAATGAAAGAGAAATCTCTTCTGAAAAGATTATTTCTTTTCCTCACCCATCGTACTAGAATCTCCTTATCTTCCCCCATCCTCCCCCTTTTATAGGGTTCAAGATCATGCAAAGGTTAAGTTATGGGATATGAGTGTCATCCCTTCAATACTTTATAGTGAGTCTCCTATTGGTGCCGAGTGGAATGGCAATTGAGATTGGAAAGCCTGCTGAGGTCAAAGGATGATCTAGAATCACCATGCTTTTATGAGGAGGGGAGAGTAACATCTAGACATAGTTTTTGAATATGAGAGAGGTGATGCATGTTGTTGTCCTGTTGGATAAATCTCGTATGGGAGACTTGATTATTGCTTAGATGGATAGTGATCTGTTTGGCTGAGAGAGGAACTTCAAATTTAGCCCCCGCCCAATGGGGAAACGATTGCCTTGAGGATGTGATACATGCTAGTTCGTCGTGCTCTAGAGTTAATCTCCTTCTAGCTCCTAAGCGAGTCCCTCGAACGCACCATTCTGAGAGAGGAGTGGATCCTCCTTTCACTCGGCCTGAACGTAACCTACAAGATACCTGCAAATGTGTACCTGTACAAGTAGTCGTGGGTGTACAAATAATTTCAGTAATTGAGAATCTTATAATGAGAAATTCTTTGATGTAATTAATAATAATGTCTGGTCACTACCTAGCTGTTAGAATGCTCATTTATGAAACAAAATATTGACCATTCTTATTATCAACCTCTCAATTCTTATTGTGTGTTCTGGAAACCTAAAGCCTAAGCTCAAAGACTTTATAGCTTTTATAAATCAAAATTGGCAAAGGGTGATATGGGGAAGGAAAATTTGACACAAATGAGTTACCATTAGATTTTCCAACTATGATTGGCCGGCTATTATGGGAGGGATCAAAAGTGCTGATGTTCTAATTGCTAGAAACACTCTGGTTAAAACTATATGTTCTCTATTCAATACTTGCAATGAATGTTTTTCACTTGTATTTTGAATGTGATGTCAGCCTTTTTCATTTTAACCAACCTCATTCTAGTTGTGGCTTCCTTTCTGTTGAGATGACTAAACATAAATGTAGTTCTCGACTACATTTCTTCTCTAAATGCTTCTTCTTTGGATGTGCAAAATGCATATTTTATAACAATTTCATGTTGCAAAAAATTACTTTAAGAATCAATAAGAAAGCCGTCCCAAATGAAGTGTAAGTATGTATTTGCTCCTCTCCGCATTTGATTTTTCATTGCAATCACTCCTTAGTACTTTTGAGATGAATACTTTCATCTTTAAGAACTTCAGAGCAATTTTTTTTTTATATAGCTACTTAACTGAGTAGGTAGGATAAAACACATTGCTGATATAAAAGATATAACAAAAACCGAGATTTACAAAACAAGATCGAGCATTGACTGATGAAATGATACATTTACGATTCAAAGGTTAAACTCCGATCGAGCTAGGGGCGCAACGATATAAAAAATATTAAACTTATTTAAATAAAAATTATTATTGAGAATAATATATATATATATATATATATAACTTTTATAAAAAAATATCAAATATAAATTTCACTTCTCTACCATCCTTAATAGTCAAACTGATTCAATTGCTCTTTAGTTAAAGGGGTTAAATGATTTAACCTCTATTTTTTAAAGAGTTGATCATAATTTCCTAAAAAATATTTTTTTAAATTGTCAATTCCCATTATAATTGAAATTTAGGTTTAGTTTGGGAAGACTTTTCTAATCAAAATAATTTTTTAGTACAAAAATTAAAATTTTTAAATCAAAAAACTGATTTAAGCAGCAAAAAAATCATACCAAACGAAATCTTAAGCTTAATGAAGTTCTTTTGTAGGTTAAGAAAAAGTGATGATAATAATTACTACAGGTTATAAGATGTAAAAAGAAAGAACAAGGAGATTATTTTGTGCGGACACCAGATTGTCCGAAAGCGAATTATAACGCGCCACGTCGCCTAATACAGCCACAGTACACAACAACAATCTGATTCACCTGCAGACAACGTAAATATCTGCACAAAAAAATTTCACAAGAACGAGAGCTGATTAATTTGATATAATATGATATATTATATAATAATATAATAAAGTATATCAATCAAATTCTTTAATAGCATTTGTATATAATATTAAGAATCAATCTGAAATATCTGGTCATATAAATTTACTATGGCCAAAACACACCAGCTCTCAGGTCACAAAAACTAATATTCTAGTTTACATCAAAAGGGATGCAGAAGAAGAGAACAAACAACAACAAATATAATTTCAAATAATCAATATTTCCTTATTTTAAAATTTAGGGTCAAAATCTTAACTGATCTTTCAAATAATGTTTACCTGAAGCAAGATCCGAAAAAAAAAATTGTTTTCTAAGTTTTATAATGGAAGATCTGAAGCTGCAGAAGATCTGGCGTTGTGGACCTTGAATCTCTATATAATCAATGCTGATTGAAATTTTAGAATTCACAAATGGAGGAAGAAGTTTTACTCGAATGGCGTATAGTTTACCAGCAGGCAAATCTGCAAGTATCGATATGAACTTTCTGAACCCCGCTTTCTTCAGCGTTAGCTTGGCTCAGGCGCGACGAGTTTCAAGCTCCGCATCCACTCACAGAAGCTCTGATCATCAGTATGGAAAAAACTCGCCTTCAATCTCGCTCTCTGACCCGCTGATAATGTGTGTAGTTGAGGGAATCTTGCTTCCTGAAATAAGAAATAATTTCCAGTAACTGAAAGAAATGCGTGGAGAGCACTTGTTCAAGAATGTAAGTGAAATTTAGGTTTGATTAGGGAGAAATTATTCTGTGCGGAGACCGGACAGAGAAAACCGTTCGGATTAGCTGCGCTTTAGTTGTGCTTTTGCAAATACTCAGCAAAATGGTAGCAAATATGCATTCCTAATAGCATTCAATTAGTAGAATATTTGTTGTGCTTTTACAAATACTCAGCAAAATAGCAACAAAATGAAAATTATGAATGCATATTTGCTGAGTATTTACAAAAGCGCGGCAAAAGGGCAGCTAAACGCAGCAAATCCGGACGGCGAGAGCCGTCCGATCTCCGCACAAAATAATTTCTCCTGTTTATGATGGCTACAATTAGCTATTAACTATAAAGTTGTTGCAGGATTGCTGTGAAAAAAGTAAATCTTTTTAAAACGTTAGAGATAATTACAAAATATTCTTTCAATTTAAAATTTTAGATAGTCATTTTCTTACATCCACCAAACTCACATATTTAATTGTAAAATGCTGCTCACCACAAATATTTTTGATAAGTATTATAAAAGAAATTAACCAAATAGAAGTGTGACGATAGATTAAAAACAAAGCAGTTAAAACACTGCCTCAAGCGGACTCTAAGCATGTTCTCTTAAATTGCTGCAAAACCCAAAAAATGGTGTCCTGGAACCAAAGACTCCCATAGGAAGGCAAAAAAGACAGAGACAGCCATACCTGCTCATAAGGCGGATCCTTGTGAGCTGGAATTAGACGAGAAACAAAGTATCTAGCCTGTGAGCTTCCCTCCTGGGACAAGAGAAATAGATGTAAGGCAGATGATGAACCAGGCCTAAAGTGACAAGGAAATAATAATAAAAGCAGCAATAAGTAATAACAAAAGGAAAAAAAAAATGGAATCATACATTGGTGTTATCATACACTAACACTGGTGTTGATTGATAGAGGTGTTTAAGTTGAGCTGTTGAGGATATTTACTATAAAGATAATGCTACTTCTATATTCTTAACTTCCTTAATCATTTCACCTTATAAGTTGTTTTCACTTTCAAAATTCAAAGTGAAGATTATGAATATGATAACACCATTGTGTTTTTTACCTATGCCTACATTTCATTATAAGGCATCTTTTGACAGGGAACATTAAGATATCTTGTAAATAAGTTAGGATTTCATTATTCTGTTTCTTGTCTTGATAATCGACCGAGATTACTTGGGTTTATTATTCAAGTACCAGTCAGAAGTTCTTTAAATTCAAGTTATTTTATAGAAAAAAGGAAACCTTGCAGATTGCATTGCGCTTCAAAAACTAAGTATAAATAAAAAATTCAAATGAAATTATGATCCTAGGATAAGGTTGTGGAATTTGAAAAATAGGAAATTAATAATATTTCCAAATAGGTTAGTAAGTGAGCCAATTTGAAATTTTTTAATTAAAGTGAAATATGATGGAAATTTTCATTAAGATAATTTTCGTAAAATGTTTAGGAAAGTCTAGAAAGTCTAGAAATGTCCAGTAAAAGAAAAAGATTGCAAGCGAGTGAAATATACGAACTTTGAAAGAAAGAATTCTAGGAGCAGGGAAACGTTGTTCGCTTAGCTCTTCAGCCAAAGTTCGACAAGCTGCTAAGGCCGCTGCACTTTTCCCTTCTTCTGCCGTAAGTTCATTTCCCTAAACGAATAAAGAAAGAAATATCATTTAAGCACCACAACATTATTGTTACTCTGCAGAATTAAATTACATGATGCTCCCAAATGTCATCTGTCAAAATAGTAGTTTACATCAGAATGCCGAAATAAGAACATAAATTACCATTATGTATGCATCGATTAAAACACTAATATTAAGTATTTATTATTTTGAAGATTATTACATAAAGAACACAAGACTTTATATACATTGTACAACATTTCATATGGCGCCTAGACTATTTGGTTTGAGGCATAGTTAACTAGTCTATGTATGGCAATTGTAGTTGTATGATATATTGATATGAGATATCACGATGGCTAATCTAATGAATACATGCATGCATGCTTTGCAAGTGAATAACTTATAAATCTATAATACTGCACATTAATAATTATGATAAATGTTTATGTATCATGTATAGTATTTAATGTTTGTATTATAAGTTTTATTAATTATTGATATATATATATATGTTAGTTTATACTAGTCCTGTCATAATGTGCTACTCGTATAAACTATAAAATTGCCAGCTATACGACATAATTGATGTGGAATGTGGAAAACATACATGAAAGGAATGTGGAATACATACATGAATGGAGGTATAAGATTGGTTGTGTTGTGAAATTAGCTGACGAACTCGAAACAACTACTTTGATATTTATGCCACCTAAAATATATCAAAATATCTCCAAAAATATTAACACCATCTAAGAAAATTTTAATATATAATCGATTATCTAGCTAAACAATGCCTTACCAATATGAATAATGAGTGATTAAGTCATTATTTTTGTATCAATACTTTCAAATATCTGATAGTTGTATGTTCATTATAATTTCGTGATTTATTTTGGATTAATAGCATAGCATTGCAGATATGCTAACATCATGTCATACATATATAGATTACTCAAGGATCTGATAGTGCTAATCTCCAAGCATCATGCATTGTATTTAATGCTTGTACAATAAGTTTTATTAATTATTGCTATATATATTAGTTTATACTACTTGGCCTATCATAATGTGATACTTTTATATACCGTGGGGCGTGGATTGCCAACTATACTCCATAAGTGTTGTGGAATGTGGAATGCATACATGTAAGGAAGGTTTGCTAGCTTAAAGGTTGATTGGGTTTGTTATGTTTCCTATGCAATAGTGTGCGCCAACTAACTTTCTTTTCAATCTTTGGGGTAAGCTCTATTACTAAAATGGAGGCACAAGATTGGCTGTGGTATGAAATTAGCTGACAAACTCGAACCGACTACTTCAATATGTATGCCACCTAAAATATATTAGAAATATCTCCGAAAATGTTTAACACTGAGAGAAAATTTTAAAATCAAATTGACTACCTAGTTAAACAATACCTTAACTATATGAATAATGAGTAATAAGTAATTATTTTTATATTAATACTTTCAAATATCTAATACTTGTATGTTCATCATAATTTTGTGATTCATATTGGATTACTAATAGCATAACATGACAGATAAATTGATATACTATTGTGACTTGTGTTCCAAGGTATATATGTTCCACTGCTAATATCATGTCATACATATATATAGATTACTCAAGAATTTGATGGTGCTAATCTCCAAGCATCATAAGACTAATGTTTTGTTGTATGTTCATGGTAATATATCATCTATTGTATTGCCAAATTTTGTGCATTTAGGGGTGCTAATGTACATTGATCAGCATACTGTTCTGAGTTGATCACTACAAATACATGTGTGATTGTAAGAGCACTTTGAACTATTCAGTATGTTTTTATATGTACATTCGTTGGAATATAACTACTTATATGAGTTATTGTATTGTTTATGATTTCTTTGATATAATTGTTGTGTACTTATCACTAGTATTCAATACAATATGGCCATTGAGTTTCCATTCTTTGATTCTGTGATCCTACTCTGATTAATTATTCTGACTTGGTCTTCAACATTTTAAATTAAACAAGGTTCTACAACTTGATTCAACAATTATACTTGAATCAAATTGATCACATAACTAACTAATTCTTACATATGTTACGAAGTTAAACTCACTATCACATATTACCATCCAAAATTGATTGAGTAGAAATGCTTTGACATAGCCTGATTTCTGATATAATCTCCATGCATATTTTCTATTTTTCATGTATCGAATGTTGTGGTAGGTTAATGTGAAGAATTGTTGCTCACCATATTTTATCTGTATTGTTGGTTTTCGAGAAGGGCCAAAGATCTTTAGACTAATTAATAGGTTTCTGTAGCGGTTATGGTCCATTTTTATTTTTCCTGTTATATATTTGAATGTTGTGATCTAGATATGAATGTACTAGCATTAAACTTGCATCTAGCATCTGATTTATTGGAAATAGAAATGATGATGTGTAATTGATGAGGACATCGGAAGATCGACGGCTACAATGTGGAGTTTATTATTTTCTTATGTGTCTTATGTACTAGTTTATTTTATTTTCCTGTTTTTTCATTTTACCCCTAGGGGTGGTCACGTTGTGTTGTAGCCTGAAGGGCGTTTTAGTCTTTGCTATTTTTCTTTTCATGAGGCCTATTTATAGGCTAGCTCACTTGTAATTTGGGATGATGAATGATAAAGTAAAATTTCAGTTTTCTTTCTTTGGATGATCTCTTAGTGAGTTCGTAAGAGGAGAGGCCCAAGTGGGACAAAAGCAATACCCGTCAATCTTGGTGGATTCCAAGGTTCGCGGTTCTTCAATTTTTTTTTATTTTCTTTTTTATTTTTCTTATGTCGAATCTCCTCCTCTAAGTTTCCCACCCGCCAGCCTCATCCCCCGAAGCCTTTTTTTGTATTTTTCTTCTAACCCGAGCCCTCCCCTTGCCGCTGGCCTCCTTGGGCCTCCCAAGCCGCCAGCCACCACCCACCCAACCGCCGGCCTCCCTTCCCCTACCTCTCCACCGTTCCCACACCAACCCGCCGGCCAACCTTCTCCCAAAATTTGAAATTCAATTTCAGGCATGGTTTAAAATTGCGCAATATGAGGTTCGCCTTTGCGCAATTCCAGTAAAAAACGCCTCGATACTTACGCCTCGAGTTCTTTCTATGAGGCTTGCGCCTCAACTTCGTTGAGGCCCGCCTTGAAGCCCGCCTCGCCTCACTGGCATGAGGCTTACGCCTCACGCTATATATATTAAAACTTACATAAATCTTGAAGTAAATGTCCGATATTGGAATCTATAGAAGAGGAGGAAGGGGAGAGAGCAATTCACCATAATGATGATTCAAATGAAGAACCCCTTAGTGATTACAGTGCTGATGACTTATGAGTTCTTATGTGATATGTCATTGCTATTTATTTTTGGAAATTGGAATTATATGTTAATGAAAAAAATAATGGGATTTGGGAAATATAAAATTTTGAGTTGAACTATATTTCATGTTGTCTTATTATTGAGATATTTTGATTTCACTTCATATCTTATGTTTTTTATAAATTATATTATTCACTCATTTGTATATAAAAAAATTATCATATGTTTACGCAATCTTTTGATTTTGAGGCTTACGCCTCAAAACGCCTTGAGGCTTACGCCTCGCCTCACGAATGAAAAACGCCTCAATACCCGAATACGCAATTTTAAACATTGATTTCAAGTGCATCAGTTTCTTTCCTAATTTGCCTCCCAAGCAATTAGGAAAGTTGCCTTTTTTTAAATCAATTAACTGTTGGAATTCCACGTTTCCTAATGCTTTAAACTATTTAGGAAATTTTTTATATTAGAGCAAATCTGAAATCAAATTTCAGATTTGATTTAGCCTTGTTTATTCACGTGGGGGGCCCACTTAATTAACCACAAATGCCCTCTTCCCCTCTCTATTTGGCCGGCCCCCCTTCATTGGGCTTTCCTCTCTCCTATTGCATTAATTGCTCCCCATTTAATTCCCTCTCATCCACATCAGTAATATAAGTTTCTAATAACTAATATAAATTTAATGTATATAGTTTTGGTGATGGTATAATGTTGATCAGGGTGATATGTATTTACTCTTTTGGATTATATAAAATACAATAATGTGATATAATTTTTTGCTGGCATAGCTTCTATATATGTTTTCATACTGGTTTAGTGGCTCTACATTAAATCATCTGATGAATAAGTGAAATAATTGAGTGCTCTAAAAGATTCTGTATTTATAAAGTTAACTAGTTTTATTGTGAGTATTATAAATGGCTAATTATCTGAATAGAGGCTCTTGATTTTTGGATCTCAACTTAATATGATTCGCTTCCATGCAACTGTCATATTAGGTTGGAGCATGCAAATGATAACAAAGCAATGGTTTGAAATTATGGATCAGCAATATACATTAGTAAAATGGATATCAATATATTGCTTAATTTCTCATTAATAGGTTGGTCTTTGGATATTTGAACTCGAAGTAGAGGTGAGGTAACGATAAGAACTTGCCTGTCTATTTCATTACATGATATTCTGGTATTAATTCATCTTATATCATGTATCTGAGGCAAGCATATTCATTTACCAAGTTTTAGGATTGTATAGTGCATACGAAATGGGGTCATCAAAGTCATAGTAGGATGCAACACTATAATGGTGGAGTAAAGAACCTGGTGAATCAAAACAGAATAGTCTTCAAAATATATAATATTATTGTGCAAATAAAGAAAGACTCTAATGCAAATAAACCACAAAAGGATATGGCAACTCAAAGAAGGACTACAGATGTGGTGAGGTTGGAAGCACTTTTAAATGGGTCCAAGAAAGGCCATAACAAAGATGTTGAGTGTGAGAATTTGTGCACATTGCAAGAATAAGCACTTAAGGACAATTTGTTGGTTGTGTCAAATTAAACACAAAGTGATAGAATACCAAAAGAGAATGCAACAAGGTAGGTCAATTTGGGATTTTGAAAAAAGAGGGGCACGTTTAAGTTAGTGGGATAGTTGGCACTCGACTAAACATACATTATTT